TACCTATGTTGCCCAAGCTGGTGTCAAAATCTCAGCCTCAACCAATGAACTGAACTCAGTCTCCTGAGTTTCTGGGATTATAGGCATAAGCCTGTGTGCCCAGCACTATCACTGAGTCTTTGTTCAGTTTGTTGAACTGTCAAAGGAATCTTTCATCTCCAACACTAAGTTTTTCATTTCTATCCTTTTATACAGTTCCCATCTCTGCTAAGATTTTCTGTTTGTGCATGTTATTCACCTTTTCCCCTAGATTTTTAACATAATTAATCATCATTATTTTTAAAGCCTCTGATCATTACAACCTCTGTGCCACTGTTTTCTCTGACCAATGGCTGGCATTTTGCATGTGTGTCTGTGCTTAGGTTCAAACTGCTCTAGTGGTGGAATGCCACCACCTTGGGTTAAGGTGAGGACTGGAATGCCAAAGGAGTACAGTGTTCATGCTCAGCTTCAGGAGTGGACACATGCACCATTTCTTCCCAAACTCTTGCTGCTCTCCCCAAAACGTACTAATCTTGCTTGTTACTTACTGCAAAATTCAAGGTAGAGCAAAGGGATTCCTTTGTTCTCTTCCTCAAGCACCTGCCCATATGGTACATAAGCTATATATCTTTACCTCAGATGGGGGGATTTGTTAGTGTCCCAACCACCCCCACAACAACCCAAAAACTTCTTCCTAGAATCTGCTGGTTAAAAGCAGATTTCCTTTCCTCCACCTGTGGTAACAGACAGCTTTTACCTAGTGTCAGTATGGGAGTCCACGGCAGGCAGCCTTCCTGTTCCTCCTGAATGTCAGCCTAAATTTATCAGTGGAGGGTCTTGGTATTGGTTTCATCAGGTTAACTGGCCCCTGCCAGCAGCAGATGGCTTTTGCCTAGTATCCATGCAGAGTTCAGAGTGGGTACATTTTGTGCCCTTCCTAAGTAGCAGAGAGCTTCTGTGTATTGTCAGTGTGGGGCAGAGCAAGTAAGTTTCCTATCCTTCCCTCAGCAGACCTCTAACATGTTTCAGTGCAGATCCAGAGGTGCAGGCAGGTTTCTTACCCTTTCCCTGGTGCCAATCATCCTGACATCAGAGCAGGGACCAAGTTATTGTGGATTCCCTGCCTCTCACTCAGCAGCAAGTAGGTTTTGCTTAATAAAGATCCAGAACATAAGCAGTCTTCTTGCTTGTCCCCTGGTACTGGCCAACCACCACCTATTACTGATGCACAATCCAGAGTGCAGATGGGGTTTCCAGTTCTCTATTGTTCTACCTTCAGACTTAAGACCATATTCCCCTGCATTTCATATTACTATTGCTGCTATAACAAATTGCCACAAATTTAGTGATTTAAACACCACAAATTAATTATTTTATGATTCTATAGATCAAAAATCAAGGTGTCAGCAGGGTCATATTGTTTTCTGACGCTCTAGGTGAGAATCCATTTCCTTGCCATTCCAACTTATAGAAACTACCTGCAGACATGGCTCAGGGAGTCCTTTCCATCTTTAAAATCAGAAATGTTGCATCTCTCTAACCCTTCATCCACTGGCACACCTCTTTCTTTCACCCAGAAAGAATCTCTGCTTTTAAGGGCTCGTATGATTAGAATGGACCCACCTAAATAATCCAGAAAATCTTCTGTCTCATGAAGTATATCCTTAATCACATATGCAAAGTCCTTATAGCCATGTAAGGTTAGCATATTAAGTTAAAAAAAGATTAGAACATGGACATCTTTGGGAGACCATTATTCTGCCTACTATTCCATGTATCATAAAGGGGGCCTCCAATCTTTCAACGCTTAGTAGAGAGGTTCAGAAAAAGAAGCTAGCAATTGCTGATCATCTTGTGTCTGAGGCTCCCAGGCACTCTAAACTGTCATACTAAACTACAACTGAGTTTTTGTAAGAACTGGTTCAAATTTAAGCATTTTATTCTTATCTACCTCACAATAGATAGCTATTCTTCTCAAGTTCTGCCAAAAATTTAATAGTTCATGTGTCCAACTTGGAAAGGGTTGTCATCTTTTGGAATTCAATTTACCTGCTTACCTTGCAACTTCAGCTCTAACAAGCTCAAAATAAATTGTGACTTTGTAGCCTATCTAGTTTGTTCTCCTTGTTACAGTAGAAGCTACATTTTTACATGGTTTTCTGCCCCTCCCTCCCACCAAAAGGAGAATTCTCAAACTGGTTTTCAAAATACATACATATATCATATTCTTCCACATGTATCAGATATAAACTTATCGACTTCGTAAAAAAAATTTAGTGAAAGATCCAGATAGGTGACTTCTCACGCAGCTTCCTCTGCCTTTGTAACCAAGAGCAGAGTAATTTGACAACTATTCAGCATATCCCATTGTCTAGAAGAGAAGCAAGAGTGGAGAAAACAAACCAAGTTTTCCTGGAAAAGTAGAAATAACAGTATGTTTAGCTATAAATATATTAAAGCCATAGCAAAAAAAAAAAAAAAGAAAGAAAAAAAAGTTTTTATATAAACTTCTATGATTTCTTTTCCTAATACAAAAATGATTTCTTTTTTCCTAGCACAAAAATAAATTTTTGTGAAGCTTTCATAATGCCAAAGTTTTCTATCATATCAAGCCAAACAGTACAATCATCAATTCTAACAGCACCAACAGCATAGTATCTTTACTTATAACATACAGAGAGAAAATTCTTAATCTGTAATGTTGCAACTGATTCTCTGCTTCTGTATTAGACATCTGATGCTTGACTATACAGAAATTACCTAGGTTGTTATGTAACCTAATCATTGAGACCAACTGATACAATTTGGTTCCTTTAAAGAACTTTACTAAACCTCAAGCAGTTTTCACGTGTGTGATGATAATCAGAAGACTGAACTCAATTTGCTGGCATGAACATGTTGGATTAACTCACTGATCTGCAATTTCCTCGTATTTTCAGGCTTGGATCATTTGGATCCAATCCTTGCACTCTGAATGCACTTCTTACATATAATAGAGCATTTACGTTTGCAAATTCTCAAAAAAGGAATTAAAAATTTGGCAAGATGGTACTTTGCAGACCTACTATAGCTTACATTGAAATTTTTCCAAAGGATCAAACTAAATAAGTCTTTAAAAATGTATCAAAACTGGAATATAAAGCCAAAAATAGGAGAATAACAAAGATCAAGAAAGGAATGCCAAGTTAAGAGTCACTGAAGTACCCACAGAGAAATGGCTTAGGATATGCATTATTGCTGATAACTGGTTCATATGTACTATTAGTAAGAAGTGTAGATATTAGTCATTCAAACCTAAAGATCAAGGGATAGAATGAAAAGCACTAGTGGTCTTATCCTACTCTCCTCTATCAGGTTCAACTGATGGAAATCCTTCATCTTCAGAATATTAATGAGTTAAGATTTAGAGCTTTGTGAATGGCCTTCTTTGCCTATCCCTTCCCATTAGAATAAGCCCTCCATCTGGCTGCGTTAACAGTAGGTGGCTGCTATTTTCCCTACAGGCTCAGAGTGGAAAACTGGGTTTCCATGGAGTTAACTAGAGCAGAGGTGGGTGGGGAGTTGAGGTAGCACAAAGGAAGAGTTGAAGAGAGAATGAATCCACAAATCCAGGGACTTAATGACTCCTGTGACCCTGACTGGCTCTATTTATTCTTTCAATTTTTAATGAGAGTAAATTATACATGTGTACTGAAAATACATCTCCCGGTTCTTAAGAGTTGCCCATCATTCCTCTTGCCTCTTCAGTCTGTGCTGTCTAGTTGCTAGGATGGTATTGGTACAGCAAAGTAGCAAAAGAAGAAATTCTAGCTGGGAACACACAATTATATTTTATAAATTTCACAGTAGCATTTTATTTGTATCAGTCATATCAAAAGTAGGATAAATAGAAACAAAAGTACTCTAATATACCTAATTGTGCTTTAAATAGTACTGGAGATATGCAGTCCGGGGGAAATGTGAAATATTTGAAGATGCTTTTCAGAGCCAGACTGTAATTATATCCAAAGGATATAATCAGAAATCATATATTTGAATAATCCACGAATACAGAGGGTGTATGTGATGAAAAATACAGAGCTTTCTAGTTAAAATAGAAGATTAGTTAAGGTAATGAAATATACATCATGTAAATGTCAGGAAAAATAGTGTGACTATGGGAGAATTACTGTGATGTTAATCTAAGGGTATTAAGAATTTAAAAGTGGGGTTAGTGTCCATAGACCAGTGGTTAGGGCACCGGCCAAATACCCCAAGGCAGGCAGGTTAGAACCCGGCCAGGGCCTCCTAAACAATGACAACTACACCTACAACAGCCAGGTGCTGTGGCGGGGCCTGCAGTCCCAGCTACTTGGGAAGCTGAAGCAAGAAAATCACATAAGCCCAAGAGTTAAAGCTTGCTGTGAGCTGTGACGCCACAGCACTCTACCAAGGGTGACAAAGTGAGACTGTCTCAAAAAAAAATTTTTTGAGTTTGAAAGCAGAAGTAGCATGTGCCTACCCAGAGGTTTCATAGGTGCAGCTCCATGCATTAATAACTGAAGTTTTCATAGCTCATGAGAATTTTTTAATGGGTTTACATGTGTGGAAACATTATTTTGTTATATACGTCCAGCAAAAAACAAAGTGTGTGTATATACATGTGTGTACTTTTTTCTTTTTGCTTAAATATGTGTGCAATTTCTGCCATATGCAATTTAAATAGTCCTAACACACAAAAAATTATACCCTAAGATGGTGATCCTTTACAGTCACGGTATATTATGATTGCAGAGTCTTTGTGCCTGTACTGACTTATGTAAGGAGATCATCTTGTCTTAACGGCACAAAAGCAAAAGGGTGAGATTCCTGGCTAATATCCCGGATCACATAGCAGGCAAACCCAACTTTCAATCCCACTTGGGCCCTTACAAACTGTGTGTCCTAGGGAAAACACATCATTTTATTTAGCTTTTTCATTTTAAAGTAAAAATAGTATCTGCAAGGCTGTCCGTATATGTTATATAACATACCCTGTTCCGGCTCTACCACTGGTTAAGCAATGGTAAATACCACTATGAGAGGCGGACAGGAAGGGGAGGAGCGCCAGAGGCGGCTGGGGCCGCTCGCCGCACTGCAAGAAGCGACAGCAGCGGGAGGCGCAGGTGTGAGCCCGGAGGTGGCTTTGGCCCTGGTCCTGGCGGTCACTTAGGGGTTCGCGGGGCCTGCGGTGACCCCCGGCTCCAGACGGTGGGCGGCCAGCGACAAAGGGCCCATGGCCTCAGCTGCGGCTCCGTCTTCCCTGGCCGTCAGGGCCCCGAACCCGGTCGCGACCCCCACCTCGTACGGGGTCTTCTGCAAGGGGCTCTCCCGCACCCTGCTCGCCTTCTTCGAGCTGGCCTGGCAGCTGCGCATGAACTTCCCGTACTTCTACGTCGCGGGCTCAGTGATCCTCAACATCCGCCTGCAGGTACACTTTTAGAGCCGTGACTAAGCTGCCGGTCTCCGGGACCGGCGCGATGACCGATTCCCAGGGGGGCCCGCGCCGTAACGGAGCTGCAGGCGAAGGACCCCGTAGTCTCGCGAGAGTGCCCGGGCGCCTTCCGCGGCTGCGCTCTGCGTTCCCAGCCGAGCTCAGTGGAGGGTGGCGGAAAGGCTGCATCTACCGGAAAGGGGAAATGCGCGGTTCCGGGAGCGGAGGACTTGGTCAGGACCCCCCGAAGGTGTAAGAAACAGACTCCGGACGAATTTCAGGAAGCGATAAAGAGTACAGGATGCATTATCTAAAACGAAATGCCGGGAAGGCCAAATATTTTCAGGAAGAAAATCAAACTTTCGTAATACTGGATTGAATGATAAGCAAGACTTGAATAAGAAGCCGAAGATGTGGAGGATGTGATATGGAAGGCGTATATTTTATCATCCCACAAGAAAAACTTTCAGTGAAAAACCCAAAACTGTACAGGAAAATCATCTTCCAAATACCAAACACAGAATGCTGCAGGATTTTGAACAAATGGTAGGAGTGCAAGAAAATAAACTTTCACTTCAATGTTCCTGTGAACAGCATGTGGATCAAGACCTTGGAGCCAAAGAAAAGGAAACTTTGTTGTAGCAGACAGCTTGGCTGTTCAGTAAATAACATACAAGTAATAATGTAGATGTTTATGGTTTTTATCCTGTTTAGGGCAATACTTAATTATGGTTACAAAGTAGAATGCAAATGTTATCTGCTGAGTTTTAAAAATACAGTTGGGAATACAGAATGTTAAGGAAGAGAAGACAAGGGTAAATTGGTTGTAGTGCCCTTATAAAGTGAGAAATTGAGAAATACAGAATGTTGTTGGGGGGCAAAGACATTACTTTCAGGGTAGCCTTGTAACTGTCCTAAAGAGGGAAAGAGGTAAGGGAAAAGAGCATGAAGTCAGCAAGAAATGCCTAATGATCTTGATTTCAGATGGGATGTCTCAAAAAGAAAAAAGAGTAACTGGTGTATTTTAACATGGGCTAGAGATTTTTCAGAGACCCTGGGACTGAATTAGTAGAGTTTTCAAAACTTTTCAAAACCTGAGTTAGTTATGAACCCCAGGAAAATATTAATAAAAATTCAAAAACAATACATACATTAACTGTGAATAATAATCATGTAAGTCAGTTATAATTATATAAATATTGAATGTTGCTTTAACATGAAGTGATTGTATAACATTGAAAGGATGAGAAAGAACAGACAAATGTGTGTGTGATGATGGAAGGTCAGACCTAATACAGAAAAGTCAAAGCAGTACAGATGTATTTTTTTAAATAAAGTAAATAAAAAACAGCTAAGAATTAAAAAGTCTTGAGAAAGGAAATCAAGGGTAAGTAGAGAAAAGCAAAGGCTTGCTGTTTTTCACTGGCAGTCTAATGGTATTATTTGATTATCTTTGGACATACGTATTTGCTTTCCTTTCACTAAAAACTGATTTAAATAAATTTCATTTTTAAAAGTTCTCCAGGGCGGTGCCTGTAGCTCAAAGGAGTAAGGCACCAGCCCAATATGCCGGAGGTGGCGGGTTTAAACCCAGCCACAGCCAAAAACCACAAAAAAAAAAAAAAAAAAATCTCCAGATAATTCAAATGTGTACCACTGGTTAGGAGCCACCAGAGTAGAATGGGATTGAGTTCCTAAATCAAGCAGATCTGTGTTAAAGTAAAAACTGTATTCTGTGGCTTTAGGTTGAGTCCATTCAACAGTTCAATTACCCCATTGTGATTCTGAAAATTGGAAATGTGCTTGCTTCAGTGTTTGTTATGTACACAATAAGCAGTATTTGTTGTAACAGAATAACCACATTAAAATGTGATTGAAATGTAAAACACACATATGGAAAGCCTGCTTTTCCAGAGGTTTGCAGTCAGAAAGGAGACAAGTAGAGTACTGACTTGTCAGAGGATGGGGAAGGAGCCTCCAGGATCATTTTAGGTGAGACATTTGAGTAGAAAGGGGTCATTATTCCCAAAAGTAAAGAATTAAACTAGTTGCAGTGTTCTGTAATATATTTCACTCATTGAGTCCAGCAAACAATATTTAGCGGTTTTAATATAAGCATCCAGCTCCGGCCAGCATCGTGTATTATTTGAGGTAATTATTCTTTATGTTCTTGGTCCCTTCCCTCCAGCCAAATTCTACTTAGCACATCTCTTCTCTCTGCCTCCTCTGCCCTTTGTCTGCCTATAAATGTTCTACTTTTGTTTTAAGACTGAGCTTAGATGGCAATTTTTCCATTAAATTTATCCCACATTTCCCTGACTATATTGTCGCTCACTTATTCTAATCCTCTGGGGGTTGTGTTCATCTCAACTTGTACCATTTTCATAGGCTGCCTTACTTCCCCTTATTGCACATTAATTATCTGTCATGTTTTTATTTTTTATAACTAAAAAGACAAGTTTCCTAGGCGATGACAGAGTGTAGGAGCCAAAACATAAATAGAAATGTAGTTCAATCAATGAAATGGTATTACTAAGGAACTTAGAATAGTGGCATTACTGTTTCTGAATGTATCTGTCAGTAGTCCTGAAATGATTACATAGAGTGGGGTTCTCTATTTGGATAGGTACAAGAACATTTGTTTCTTTCAACTTTTTTTCTTACTGTTGGTCATTTGTTGCGCTGTAGATACTAAGGCACTTTAGCGGCCTTTAGTATTTAATCATATCTTCCAACTAGCTTGGAAGCTCCTTGAGAGAAGATCCTTATCCAGTTTTACATCTTGAGGTATCAGCAAGTAGATAACTAGGATCAAAATGTAAGCTCTGGTATTTACCACTTACTCTTCCACAGTCACTCTTAATCTTGATGTGTGTTTTTCCTCCCACATGAAACAATCCTAAGAAGTTTCCCAAGAGAGAAAACATGATTTTTAGCCTGACTAAACCACTTAATATTCTATCACGAGTAAGTTTATTCTTCCTGGCACACTACCAGGTTCAAAAAATTTTGTTGGGTGGTGCCCGTGGTTCAAAGGAGTAGGGCACCAGCCCCATATACCAGAGGTGGTGAGTTCAAACCTGGTCCTGGCCAAAAACAGCAAAAAAAAAAAAAAATTTGTTCTCTGCTCTATCTCCAAGCCTTATAACACTGCCTAAGTGCAAAATAGGTAATAAACACTATTAAATGGATAAGTGAATGGCAACTTAGTTGATATTCTACACATTGTCTCCAGTCAGTAAAGGAAACATAAATTCTAAGGTGACTATTTTTGTTGCACCTAGGTTCAGCTTTTTGAGATCATCATGAATATTCATCAGTCCCCAGATCCCTCAAACATGAAGAAAAAAAGAGGCAATATGATTATTACCAATAAAGAAATAACTTATTAATAGTAACTGATTTTTAAAATTGCTGGGAAATGGTAACTAGGTGTTACAGCTTATTCTACCTAAAAGGGAAATAGTATAGGGATATACATAATCTGTAGCACTGGAAATATATATTTTTTTAATTTCTAGGGCAAAAGTATGTGGTATTGTTTGACCAAAAGTGTCATCATCACCCTCATCTAAATTTTATTGGGTTTTACTTTTTATTTTTTTGAGACAGAGTCTGACTATGTTGCACTCTGTAGAGTGCTGTGGCATCAGCTCACAGCAACCTCAAACTCGGGCTTAAGCGATTCTTTTCCCTCAGCCTCCCAAGTAGCTGGGACTACAGGCGCCTGCCACAATGCCTAGCTATTTTTGTTGTAGTTGTCACTGTTTAGCAGGCCTGGCCCAGGTTCGAACCCTCCAGCCCCAGTGCATGTGGTGGGTACCCTAACCACTGAGCTAAGGTTGTCAAGCTGCGGATTTTAGGAACTATGAGAAATTATTCTTACATACATATCTCCATTAATCCTCTCCTGTGCCCTGTGAGGAAAACATTTTCTTCAGCATTTTTCAGGCAAAGAAGTTAGGATTTAAAGAAGCTAAGTAACTTCCCAAGGTGATAATAACTAGCCAGCCCACAATTGAGTCTGCAGTAATCCCTAAAGACATATTTCATAAGGAGTTAATTTTTTAATTGTGTAGACAATTACAAGTCATCCTGTTTCCTTCCTCAATTTCCAAACAAGGCTTTTTAAAAATATAATTGAAGGCCTTCTATACTACAATATAAATATTTCACATGATTTAATGTATAAATTCAAATACTTACACTCACTGCTCACTAAAGTGTATTGGCCCATTGTATTTTATTTGGAGAAGTGGGTGGAAGCAGAGTGAGTGGAAGGACATTTTCTCTAGAATAAAAGAGAAACAGTTTTCTTCCCTCTATAGAGTAGTGATCAGACAGTCCTGTATTTTGAAGTCATGTTTGTTGTTTCCTTTAGGATCCCTAAATAATTTTTTTGTTACAACATCTGGCAGTTTGCTATTAATGGGACATCTTTCTGGAAGAACATCAATAGCATTTGACTGAGTAAAGAATTAAATAAAGCTGACATACAGAGGCATAAAGTGATAAGGAATGAAAGTATAGGGCCAAAAAGGGATAGGTAAATCATCATGCCAGAAACTTTGAGCCTGGAAAGTAGTCTGAAGATGAGACTTGCAAAGTTTCAAGCAAGTAGACATGGAAAACTATTAGAATTCCCAGCAAGCAAGTTGGATTGAGTCATGTGAATCAATCTTTTGAATTACCCCAGGTGTTGGGAATTTTCTTGCAATTTTAACAAGTATATTTGCACTACGGTCTGAATATATTCTCCCACACACACACTTTTTTTTTTTTTTTTTTAAGAGACAGAGTTTCACTTTGTTGCCCTCAGTAGAGTGCTCTGGCATCACAGCTCACAGCAACCTCCAGCTCTTGGGCTTAGGTGATTCTCTTGCCTCAGTACCTCCCAAGTAGCTGGGATCAGAGGCACCTGCCACAACACCTGGCGATTTTTTTGTTGTTGCAGTTTGGCCAGGGCCAGGTTTGAACCCACCACCCTTAGTAGATGGGGCTGGCGCCCTACTCACTGAGCCACAGGCAGTGCCCCCTCCAAAATTTTTTATGCTGACATCTTGCCCTCTCAAAGTGATGGTGATAGGATATGGAGCCTTTGGGAAGTGATCAGGTCATGAGGATGGAATCTTCTGGAATAGGATTGCTGTCCTCATAAAGGAGACCTAGAAAGGATTAGCCTGCTCATACTGCCATGTGAGGTTACAGCAAAATAGCCATCTGTGAGTAAACAAGAAAGTGGACCATCACCACTTAATTAGGGCCCCAAGTTCTCCGGAAAATGGTAACTGGGTGTTATAGGTGGTTCTCTCTCAAAGGGAAATAGCTTGGTAATATATAATCTAGGGGATAGGGAAGAAGGCAGCACCAAATTTGTGGTTGCCTTGTTTTTGGACTTCTCAGCCTCCAGAACTGAGGGAATGAATTTCTGTTGCTCATAAGCCACCCGGTTTATGGTATTTTATTGCTGCAGCCCAAACAGTTGCTCACCAGGATTACAATAGGCCAGGTCATGAATCTTTTCAGAGCTGAAGTAAAACTCCTCCAAACCCCCACTCCCTACAAATATAAATTTCAGCAATACTCTTGGGACGATTGAAAGCTCAAAAGGACATTCCCAAGTGTCTACTACAATGCAATGAAGAAACTATGAAAATCTTAGTAGCTTTATTGCAGGACATCTGAAGACACCCCTGCCAGTTTCTGTCCTGATTTGGGATCTGTAGTAAACATTAGAAAATCTTGACCATCATTATGGCTTCTAACACCAAGTATGTGACTTTATTCACATTAAGATAGTGGGATCAATGAACAATAAAGAGGAATGGAGATGTTTCTTTTATATGAGAGGGGAGTTAGGTACACCTTTTCATGGACCAAAATGAGGAAAAATAAGTCATCACACAACCAAATTATAAAGTACTATAACAAGTACTCTTATGTCTTGACTATGAGATCATAGCTACAAAAATAGAGATAGTGTCCAGCAGATTTTTTTTAATGTTTAAAGTGAAAAGTCATTATTTTGGTATATGCAATATGATCCCATTTATTTAAAAATAAAATTACATATTTGCTTATATACGCATAAAAATTTTCTGAAAATTACATAAGAAACTGTTAACTAGATTACCTTTGGAGAATAGTATTGGGGGTTAGGATGTGAAGAGGGAGACCTTTTCATTTATACACTGTTTTGAATTTTTTGTCATGTGTACTTAAAAAACACAAAATTGAGGAGGGATCCTCCTACTCAAAAATGATGAAGCATTCTTTCAAGTACATTTCTCTAGGATTTAAATTTGATATTTTTCAAGCCAAACTGACTTAAAGTACTTGATGTTTTTTCAAATGTATTTCTAACCATATTAGTAGGGTCACACCTATTGACAGGCTTTTCAAACAATCACATTGCTATATTTTTAAAGATGACATTTTTAAGCAGCCATTTTAGCTTATTAATTGATAGAAAGCTTTGGCAGTATCTCAAACTGAAGGCAAAGAAGAAGATAGAAGCTTTACAATTCAGAAGCCAGGTTCTATCAATTATGAAAGGGAAACTAAATTATTTCTAGAACTACCTTGTTTATCGAACACTGGGTTAATGAATAGGTGTAGCACTATGCAAGTTAGGATCGCATCTTCATCTTAAGCTATGTCTACATTGGTGACCCCCCACCAAATAGTTAAAATTGAAAATAGTCCATCTTTCACTTGGAATTTTATCTACAAATACATAGGTACAAAAGTTTTGAGATACACAAAAATCAAGAAAGGTAACATCTGTGCCAATGGAAACAAATGAAGCCCTCCCAGCAACACCAATAAGCCGAGCAAGTTGAAACTTCCACAGGTAAATCAGAAAAAACACTGTTGACTGTGTTTCTTGGAAGTGAAATAATGGACCATAATACAGTTTGTCTTTCATAGTGACCCACGTAAGCCCCCTCAAAAAAAAAAAGTTGGGACATAGGTCACTGTAGACAACATTAACCAGTGTTAACAGGTGAGTAAACTGTGGTAGTATAGGTTTTGTGGAAGCCTTCCTTGTTTGTTTAATTAAGGAAATCCTTCCTTGTTCTGTTAATTAAACTTTGGGACATTGAAATGGGATAGTGAAAATGACTGGGTAGAAGGCATTATTCTATTCATTTATCTTCTAGCCTTACAAAAATGAACAAAAAAAAAAAAATTAAGGAAATCCCTGGCTCACAGGATATGAGATTAATTAAGAACAGCAGAAATCCCTCTGTACCATCAGAGAATCAATAGAGATGATGACATTCTCTGAAATATGTATTGACCCCTGCATATTTCCACTAGGACTTTCTCAGCTCAAGACAACATGGTTTGCATGCTCTAAAATCTTCTCTGCCTAAGTTCTGGGTCTATGGCAGGGCTCATGTATGATCCTGTTTTGGCTTTAGAAGCATTAATTTGCAACTCTTCTATAAATCAATGGTGTGACACAACTGGAAAAAAAACTCATGACCTCAATATTATAAAAAATGTTTATTTTAGGGGAAAGTGGCAAGAAAGCAATGACAATTTTATTTTTTGGCCCCAGAATAGGTTACAATTTTCTATAGATTGCTTAAGGATGTGATAGTCGTAGTTTTCTTGGATCATGTTTTATGCCTTCCACCCAGGCACTTGTTATAGACATGGTGCTGCAGAGCTTAATCTCAAAATTCATTATAATTGAGAGAATAGTAGCCATCCATCCCAGGCTAGGACCTAAGCTTCGTCTTTTAATAGTCATTTGCTGTACTTTTATTTCAGGAATAGATCCCTGCTCCTTCTTGCTCTTCTCTCCAAGGTTAGTCCATAAGAAATGAAAACTTAACCCTAATGAGACAATGAAGACTGCTAAGTCCCACTCACAAGAAGGAAGGGTTGTACACAGTTGTTTAAATCTTTTGTATCTTGATCATTAAAGAAAAGTTTAATAATGCTAAATGTAAGTCAAAAACTACAACAAAATATTCACAGCATTTTCTAATAAGTACAAAGTAATCTTTAACTTTTTTACTGAAAGGAGTACATTCTAAATTATCTTTGCTATCTGAACCTACATATAGCCACTGTGATTTTAATTTTACCTTTCCCAATGACAATGATTTGGAAATTTCTTATATCATGTCTAACACAACGAATGGAATTTAAAGAATCTAAATGTCCGTATAGGCCTGGAAATACATGCATTGTCATCACCATAATCACCATCAATACATCAGAGCGCCATACAGCACAGTTTCCTGGAGTGAAAGCACATTTTACGAAGCCCTTTATAGTTCTTACTTTCTTCCCATATCTACAACTGACCTACCGCTCCATCAAAATTAACTTATGAATAACATCTTTTCAACATTTGTTTTCTTTTTTTTTTTTTTTTTTTTGAGACAGAGCCTCAAGCTGTCCCCCTGGGTAGAGTGCCGTGGCATTTCAGCTCACAGCAACCTCCAACTCCCGGGCTCAAGCGAGTCTCTTGCCTCTGCCTCCCAAGTAGCTGGGACCACAGGCGCCCGCCACAGCGCCCGGCCATTTTTTGGTTGCAGCCGTCATTGTTGTTTGGCGGGTCCGGGCTGGGGATTCGAACCTGCCACCCTAGGTGTATGTGGCTGGCGCCTTAGCCGGTTGAGCCATAGGCGCTGAGCCTCAACATTTGTTTTCTATAGTTTCTTTTTGTTTCCTTCTGTCACTGAAAAATTGCAGCAATTGTAAACCCTAACCGAGATTTCTTCATTATTGATAGTTTTTAAATATGTTTACAATTAGTATCTCTAGAAATTATTATTTACAAACTGTTATATTCAAAACTATAACATCACTAACAAGCACAGTTTTATTACCTGCCTTAAGCTTAAAAACATTTTTAGCTACTTTGATTTAAATAACTTTATTCTAAAAGTCAAACCAGCATCATCCACAAATATCTAAAATTTATACAAATACGTGACCTTCTCTTACAAGCTTTCCTTTCAGTTCTTATCGCTAGTGATTTGGGTGTGTTACTTTTCTTTGACAAGGAACACTAGTATTCATGGTATAACAAAACATACAGAGAGGCACACACAAATTCAGCGTTAAAGTGTGATTATTTTGAATTTCGTAAAGTAGAAATGTAAGCATGGTTACGCACCTAGAGATAATTATTCAATTTCTCTTTATAAATTCATTTGACTTTTATCTTACACAGGTAGCTCAGTTTGTATTTCTAGCAGAAAGGACTCCTAATGATAGAACACTCTTTTTTTTTTTTTAAATTGTATCTGTTGTTATAAGATTATGTGCTTTGAATATTTATTTATTGTTTACTTAGTATTATAAAAATATTTCAGCTACTCATCTTGGAGAGGATTTTCATTTCTAAATGGTTTTTCTTCTCACATGTGAATCTAATTACACATTTGCCAATACATATTAAATTAATACATGTTGCATTATATATTTTACATTCATATAAGTCTCGAATATTTCCTTGTTATTAGCAAGTGTTATAATGACAATCATGCCTGCTCTTTTAAAAAATCTAAAAATCTAATATTGTGAGTACATTGTTTTATGGGTCGTTCTACAAAAATTCTGTGATTCTCAATGGTGTCTAAAAGAATTCAGTGAGAAAAAGAGAAGTTAAATGGATTTTCAATGTCTTCTCTTTAATTCTCCTGAAATATAAAAAATTCTGGAAAAGTCTATGAAGCTAAAAGTTTCATTCTTTTTAAGTGGCACTTAAGATGCCGCAGCAGTCCCACAGCCGTCTGTCTCAGCTTGCTATTTATAAAAATTAGAACAAATGAGTGGCCTGAAGGAAATATGGTCGATGTTACTGTGACCAAGAAAGCAGCCTGGTCTTTCTTCAGGAAGAGGAAAATCCAACCTGATAGTATGATAGAAAAAAAGTGAATAATGAAGAACAGGAGGAAGGACATCACCATTTTTAGGGCCCTCCAATGGGCCTGGGTGCTAAGATCCTTGGAGCCCAAGGAGTTGAGCTGCAAATTTTTGATGTGTCTCATCAAGGACAGAAATAAAAGGAGCAGTGAGGTCAGGGACAGAAGAAATGGAATTAAGTAGGTCAAACTGAAAACTGTCCAGCTTTTAAAATATAGAGTTGTACTTACTCTGGACGATAAAGTTGAGTTTCTTTCATATCTGTAATTGATAGTAAGCCAGAAGTCACTTAATGTGTCTGTTAATGCCAAGTTGGAAAATAGTAAGGACAGAGACACCAGTTGGAGCACAAGCAGCACTCTGCTAATTCTCCACCTTAGCCAGATGAAGCAGGGGTGGGAGAAACTGGCTATTTTAAAGAAGTAGAAAACACTTAGACAGGTGGCAAACCAGGTAGCTAAGTGATTGGTTATTGACCAAACCATAGCAAGAAATTTTGCCAGTTTATCAATGACATATAGATGTGGATATAACACCGTTATAAATAACTGGCATTGCGTAATCCAAAGTTGACCAATTCTGGAGATGGCAAGGCTGGTAAGGATGCAGTCGAATATTGAGATCTTTTGACTCTTCACCCAGTCAATGCAGTTAACAAGAGCAATGAACCCATTCCCCAAGATTCCAGTTATTAATGTTCCCATTTCCACTATGAAAAAGGCACTTCCAATTCCAGATGACATTTCTACAGAAAGCTAATACTGCTTTACTGATACTTTTTGCTGTCAAAAAGTTGCCGAATAATATCCAGGTTGATGCTTCTCACTTCATGTTAAAAATACTCAAAATAACTGAGAATGTTCTGCTATTTGCTACCATCTCATTTATCTTCACAAACAATCTTTTCTCTTTTTATAGTAATCCCAGCCATAGGCCTGAAATATGTGTGCAAGGAGATCCCATCTCCCAGATCTTAATGGAAAACTCAACATTACTTTCAGTCAAGCTACTGGCTTTCAAATTAAATAGTAAATGTGCCCAGTCATCATTTGCACTGGCAGCAATTTCCCACTTGTGAGGACATCTGGAAGGGTGAAGTCGGCTAGGTAAACATGCAAATATAAGAGAAATTTCTTTACACTGGTTTGTATTTCCTCTTCAGTTGAAACTCAATACCATTTGGATTTGAGTATCTTAATGTTCATAGAATTCCCTAAAATAATCTCTATAATATACACACTGTTCATCAGTTCCACTAAGTATGTACATAAAATCCATCATATTTCAGATTCTGCTATAGATGAATTGAGTGTAATAGAAAGAAGCAACATCAGAGAGCTCACAAGTGAGAAACAAAATTAAGCTGTTACTGTTAAGTGTGACAAAGTTTGCTCTAAATACAATTATAACACCAAGGAAAATTTTACAAAATCTATGGTCAACAGTTAATTCTTCACAAGGATAGTGACAAGCAGCTTGGTCTTGAAGCTTTTAGGATTTCTTGCAGAAATAAATAAAAGAAGAAATGATTTTACTTATAATGATGTAAAAGTATAGGCAGAAGTAACAGACACATACCTCTACCTGAGGTGCTTTTCTGAATTTTGAACTTGGTTTCCAGTAAGTTGCTGGACATTTGATTCTGAATAAGCTATTATCAGCTGAAAGTTTAAAAAAAAAAAATTTTTTAAAGATCAAAAAATAGCAAAAAATAAAAAAAGGCACCAAAGAATAGAAGGGAAGTTCTTTTTCTTAATTCTTCCAGTGGTAAATTCTTTGTCTCATAAAAATTATTAATTCATACAGCCAGGCTTGGTGGCTCATGCCTGTAATCCTAGCACTTTGGGAAGCCAAGGTGGGATGATTGCTTTCAGGTTAGGAAGTTGAAACCAAGTTGAGAAAGAGTGAGACCTCATGTCTTCCAAAAAGAGAAAAATTAGTTGGGCGTGGTGGTACTCACCTATAGTCGCAAGGTACCTGGGAGGCTGAGGCAGGAGAATCACTTGAGCCCGGGAGTCTGAGGTTGCAGTGAACTATATGATGCCACTGCACTCTAGCCCAGGTGACAGAGTGAGACCCTGTCAAAAAAAAAAAAAAATGAATTCACATTAAAATATATTTTATTTTATATTATTACTTATTTGCATTATTTTGTAGGGGTTTTGAACATTTTAAAAAAATACTATTGCCCACCCTTTCTGCTTGGAGAAGGCTCTTACTCTGTCTGTGGAGTAGGATCTGTTGTCTGTATCTCAACAAACTTTATGTTGCTCGTAGCC